TGCATTCTGGTATCGCTTGCACAGATCTGGCACTTAAAGAGATATTTCCAAAAGAAGAAGCACATATAAGTCTTGTTTATATTCAGTGTTCTTAAATGAGATGATGGCAAATATTTTCTTTTCAATAGGTCATAAATTTCCCAAAGGAAAATTTTCATGTGTGTTAGAGGTGGTGAACGCTAGAGAGTAGAGAGTTTTAAGGTCAACGTAATTAAGCCCATGTTCGGGCTCCATTTTAATTTTAATCTTTTATTTTTGTTCTTAACCATACAATTTTCAATAAAATAATATTACGCGTAAAATAATATTTTTCTATTCTTTTTTGACCACATATTATTAAAAAAATCACCATTCTAAATTTTTTTTTTTCCCTAAAAAGCAAAAAACTAATTTTAATGGAGTCCAAACATGGGCTAAGTGTCAAATTTCTACTAAGAGCTAGTACAAAAAATGACCTTAGCCCAAATTTCTACTAAGAGCTAGTACAAAAAATGACCTATCTCAACTCTATACGCAACGTAAAATAACTTATTGAAAAAGATAATTATATTTAGAAAGTTCAATGCAAAAGAGGAAAAAAAGATTGCAATTCGAAATTATTAATAAAAGGGAAAATTGTAAAAGCGGTCCCTAACCTTTTCATTTTTTGTAAATTTTACCTTAACATTTATTTTGTATCAGCGGAGGTTCCTAACATTTCATAAATATGCACTTGAGATCTATTTGGACGGAAACCGTCCAAAACATTGTCAATTGACCGGAAAAATTAAGAAATCAGTATATAATAAAATCGTTCGAAAGTGTATCAACATTCAATAAAATCATCGCGGTAGCAAATAGTTCAAGGAAATTTCATTGTCAATTGATGGTGTTTTTGGACAGTTTCCATCCAGATGGACCTTGAGTGCATATTTATGAAAGATTAAGGACCTTCGCGAATACAAAATGAAGATTAGGGTAAAGTCTACAAAAAATGAAAAGATTAAAGATCATTGCTGCAATTTTTCCTTAATAAAAAATAATGAACGTTTGAAATTAGAAGGTTAGGACTTAGGCGCACTCAAGTTTTGCCAACTTGACTTTTGCATAGCAAACTTGAGATTTGTTCAACAAATTCAATTTGTCCAACAAACTCGAAATTTTCATAGCAAACTCTAGATTTGACTTGTTAACTTATTAGATTTTCACAAAATTCGATGTTTGTACAGTGAAAACTCACAATTTCACCCATCAAACCAAAGATTATGTACATTACCTGGTTTGAAATTCCCTTCGATTTGTAAGCGGATGTGGGTTGGTGATCATATGTCGTTGAATTTGATTTGGGGATTAAAGTTTGGGATTTAAATGAAAGAGAAAATGTTATTTAGGGTTGGACGATTTGTCTTGGAGTGATAATTTCATTTATGTCGTGTTTGTTATTGTCGTATTTAATGTTGCCATGTTGGCCTTCTACCTTGATGATGTTAACAAAATGATCGAATATGTAAGCGTTTCAAACTTTAATTATCCGTATTATAACAAAATAATTTTAATGATAATTTTGAAAATATCTTGAAACTATAGTGATGTCCGATGCAATTAATTAACTTAAAATACAATGCCAAAGAGAAAATGCACTAAAATAGATAGGTGTAGTGATGTGATAATTAGACTAGTATATTCATAGTAGACATTTTTTATGGCATCTCCCAATACATATAAAAATGTAAAAATGACCCTCCAGGGCATTATCCAATAGTGCAAAGGATATGAATGAGGTAGTCTCAGCCTTACTGGCAGCTGCAGTATGTAAGGGTTCGATTTCTGAGATATGAAATTGGACTCTTTGTGGGTACCAATGTACGAGCAAGCTCTTGTTCCCCAATCTATTGGAGGTACATCTCGAGATTTACCTCATTCACGATGCTCCAGCGACGAGACAGTAGGGGTCATCAAGTTTGGGGTTCAACCTTTTTTTTAAAAAAATGTAAAAATTGACCATTGATTAGAAAGAATATCAATAATGCTATGTTGCTCGAATTTTTTTGACATGATGATTGATCGACACTCACAATGAAAGGGGGTTCAATTCTTTTTTAAACTTTTTTATTCACACAAGACCCACACGCATGTGAGAGGATATCAATAATTATGTCAAAAAATTGCAAAGTAGTTTAATTCAAAGAATTGTATTAAGGCCCCATTTGGGAGTAATTTTTCACCTCAAAAAATTGATTTTTGATTTTTATTTCACTATTTCAATTGTAATTTTTAACTTTTTCTTTTACAGATAGCCCTCACTTTCTACAAACGCTCAAAAATTCAATTCTCAAAATCATTATCGAACATACCCTAGAATTGATGTACAAAAAATTGTTCATTCACACATGATGTCAAATTTGTGTACGTGAACCCACTTTTCTCCCCCCATCAAATTTCACGTTTACCATTCGTCTTATGAGAAGACTCGACAGTACTTCACTGAAAAAGGTACAAACAACGTTGCAGCTTTTTCCCCCTTTAAAATTGATGATTTGTACATTCGATGATGTGCATTCTTCGGTACAAATTTGTTCTTTTCTTACCCAAAATGGTAAATACAGTGGGGTAAAAAGGTTAAAATGGGAAAGTTGGTGGGAACAGAATAAAAGGAGGATCAACGTTTAAGTGCATTTTAATGACAGTTGGGTAAATGAGTTGATTGAACTGTCCCAGTAAACTGTGTCTTCGTGCCATCATTATTTTTAAAAATAATAAAAAAGAAAATAAGAAATTATTGTTTGTGAGATATATATTATTAAATTTTTAATTTTTTAGCCACAACACAACATTGCAATCAAGAAATATGTCAACCGAACATGTCATGTGGACGATAGAAACTTTGTGGAAGATGTCGTATTAGATCGAACATACTAATATGAAAAGGATTTATGTAGTCAGCTTTAAATAAATTTAAATTGAATGTGGTCAATTTTTATTTTTATTTTTATTTTTAAAATTTCGGTTGAATCTATGTTCCTTTGGCTCTTATTCTAGAACCAATAAACATTGAACTATTGCCCCCCGGGGCACAGCTCAACTGGTGGATTAATCAACATTGTCTTACTTCCAGTGGCAGGGTGGAGGTTCGAATCCTGGTTTGAACTTGCGGCCAGATTTATTTGGTATGGAGCAATCACTTTGGAGGAGGATCTCTTGTGCGCAGAAGTGTACAGGCGGTGGGGGGAACCTGTGATCCAGTTAAGGCATAACCCGCGATTTACCCCCTCCAAGGTTCTAGGGGCAAGGGTCTTGGGGGTCCAAGATTTAGTTTAGTGTAAGTTGGGATACCTGGATATATATATAAAAAAAAAAAAAAGCATTGGACTATTTATTTTTTCCTTCCATTATCTTTATTATTTTAATAATTAAAAACCAAAAGCAGCAGCCCACATATTCTAAGTTTGTATGCAATAGACAAAATTGGAGAAATAATGAAATTGAAGAAGGTGCTCAAATCCACACCCTATAAATAAATATTAGCAGATATGAAGATGGGAGGCTTCTTTAATACATTGTGATAGGATTATGCATTATAATATTAAAATAAATTAATATTAATATGATTGAAGATGAGGATGTGTGTTTGTGTGGTTAATTGATTTGATTAAATTTTGATGATTATATGTCAAAATCACATAAATTATTTTAATTTAGAAAGTGGGACCAGGTTTAACTGTTTGGCTAGTTATTATGAATAAAGCCACTTAACCAGGCTTAAAAATAGAAAAGAAGGAGACAGGCTGATTTATCAGCAAATGATTTGTTTTTTTTTAAACTGTCCAATCACGTGTTGACACGTGTTCCACCTTTTTGGAACCTGTATGTGTAACATAATTGAGTTACTATTGATTATTATAGATTATGTACACAAGACTTCAATTTTAGAGATAAGTTGATGAGTATACAGATTTGTCCTTTTCCTAAACTTATGGCACAATATTGATAAAATTAAATAATTGTTTAAATAATTTAGATAATGTACTTCTAATAATCCCTATCATATTGCAAGTTTTGAGGCATGAATCCAAGTTCTTGCCAATTAGTCTCCCATGAAAGGTGTCTTATTTAATAAGGACATTTATTATAGGAATTTGAATAATGCTAGCTGCATTATAGATTCATTCAATGACATGTGAGCTGGTGCACAGTGTATTACATAACATTATTTTCAAAAACAATATTGATATCTGGTACTAGTGGTGTTAAAACACCAATCTAAATATCATCATATAGGGGCTCGTCTGGTATGACTTTTGTCTTTACTTCATGTAAAAAAAATACTTTTGTAGAAAGCGAACTTAATTTTTGTTTGAAAAACTAATTTTTAAAATCACTTTTTATTCCAGAAATACTTTTAGAGGAAGTTACATTGAATCAACTTCCTCTAAAAGCTTGTCTAACTACCAAAAATACTTCACAAATTCAGCCAAACAGGTCCAAAAGTAACTTTTAAGTCTCAAAAGCTCTTTTTAGCTTATCAAATGGGCTTGTAATGTGCTTAATAAGTGGTGGAATCACATGACTCATTTAATTGTTCTTATCATTTAATGACATTTAACGTTACCTAGACTGGTATTATTACACCAATGATGCTAAATTACAGTATTCTTTCAAAAAATAATATATCTTGTTGTATTGTTCAGTCATATGACTCATATCCAACTATGATAATAAACATATTTAAATATTGCATGACTCTTTCAATTATTGTATAAGAAATCAATAATCAATATTATTAACACAAAAAATGTGAGATGAACTGCCTAAGCTAGCGCTTTTGATTCTTACCTGAGTTGTTTATCTGCCATCCAGTCCTCACTTCTTTCTTAATCAACCAACCCTTTCTTATATGTAACATACACTTTCTCGGTGAGCCTGTCACATCGGATTTGTCTAATGTGATTTACTTGATTGGCATGATTTGTAGGCTATTGCATCAATCCGAAGATTTACCCAGCACGCACCCGAAAGGTAGGAATAAGTCATCAGACAGAGAAAAAGGAAACATTATTTATAGAAATATCAAAGCTTGAACCCACCAAGAAAAATACTAAGATTACCCCACCAAATAATGTCAAATATCAATAAAAAAACAAGCACCACCAATTCACAACCCTACCACCTTAATGAACCTACACCTCACCTCCAACCATCGCATGGTGGTGGTGGTGGTGGTTGTGGGTCTTCGTCATCTACCGCTGTTTTAATTAACGCCTCCACCACTCAACCACCGCCACCGGCACAACTCCTTGACTCCTCCTTAGCTGTCGTCACCACCGGATCGGAAACCATAGATGATTCTACCAAGAAACCAACCAAAAGTACAACAAAGGACCGCCACACGAAAGTTGACGGTCGAGGGCGGCGCGTCCGAATGCCGGCTACTTGTGCAGCTAGGGTTTTTCAACTGACTCGAGAATTAGGCCATAAGTCTGATGGTGAAACCATCGAGTGGCTCTTGCAACAAGCTGAGCCAGCCATCCTAGCTGCAACAGGTACAGGAACAATTCCAGCCAATTTTTCCACCCTCAACATCTCTCTCCGGAACAGTGGCTCCACTCTGCCGGCTCCGCTCTGGAGATCGGCTCCTCATTCTTTCGACAGTGCACTTGGTCTTGGACTAAGCGTACCCCGAGCTTATGAAGAGAACTTTTCACAGATGTTAGGCTTTCACCACCAACAAAGCCCTCATCTTTTACAAGCAGCTCAATTTACAGAGGGAAGCAGTGGCGGAGATGGCGGCGTTTGTCTACATAAGAGATACAGAGAAGACTTGTTCAAAGAAGAAGGAACCAGTAATTCTCAAGGAGAAGGCTCCAGTTCATCTTCCAGTAAAAAATTCAAGGGCTATGATATGCAAATTATGCATCTTGCGGCGGCGGCCGGACAAACACCTACAAGTTTGATGGGGCACAGTAACATGCTGCCAACCAGTGTCCCACCAAATATCACCACCGCCGCCGCCGCCAGCACTTTCTTGACGCTGCCCGTCACTGCCGGTGGTGCAAGCGGCAATGGGCAGACATTGGCTGACAATGGTGCGGTAGACCCAACGTGGCCGGCTGCCGGACCCTCAGAGTCTCCCCAAATGTCTCAATTTCCGATGTCTGCGAGGTTTAATTACTCGGGAAATTTTGAACTTCAAGGTGGGATAATGCAGCAGCAGCATCTTGGATTGCGCGAGTCCAATTTGGGCATGTTGGCAGCACTCAACGCTTATTCAAGAGGTGGTTTGAATATAAATTTTGGGCAGGCTCAGCCAGTTCATTCTCCATTGGAGCCCCAGCAGCAGCAGCAGACTCGGGCTAATGACAGTGGAGAAGATGACCAAAATACTTAGCAATAAGAATGTGTGTATACATATATAGTTTGAAATCTGAATTTGGTTAGTGAACAATTTTCTAAGTAATTCATTCATCGAGTGAGCAATTTTTTTAGTTTTTTCTACTGATATGTCCAGTTATTGGATTTGTATATATAGATTGCTAAAATGGGATGATTTTACAGATTTATGTATATGTATGTGTGTGTGTGTGTGTGTGTGTGTGTGTGTGTGTATATAATTGAGTTATAATGAATGAATGCTTCATGATGAAGGTTTTCATATATGAAGTGAAGAGGGGTGCTCACTTCTTATATTAATTCGTGTCTTATTTTTCGAGTATTTTCGTCTCTAATTTGGAATATTATTTCGTGTTGTGGATTTGGACTGATCTAGAAAATGGTTCAATCATAGTATGAAAATTGATCTCTCATTGTAAACTTACAATGATGATTATAGTTCACAATTTCAAAATTGCTATTATTATGGATTTGATATCCGTTAATGATAGAATTTATCTTGTAATGATAAAATATTGTGGATTACAGTTATTATTATTATTATTTTTTTGTTATTTTTATAATATTGTGCTAAGTTAGATTCGATATTATATAATATCTAAAAAGAGTAATTCAGCATCAATGGTGTCAAATACTAATTTATGTAACAAATACATAATATTAAATAATAGATTCACTTAAATATAGTGTCACATGATTCATTTAATTGAATATAGCATGTGTGATCACATAAACTAATGTTCTAGCATCACTGATGTTATCTATCATTATTCGTTAGAAAAAAAATAATATTTTCATTTTACTCTAATTATCACCTCTAGTAAAATTTTCTCCTAATAATGACGTAGGCATATATTTTTTGAAAAATTGTGATAAAAGTTCATCAAGTGTTTATTTTAAATATAGAAACTGAAATTTAGCTTTAGCTCTAATTTTCACCCCTAATAAATTTTCCTTGTAATACTTCAGTTTACTCTTCCGACCTTTTCACATTCAAAGCATCACATGTCGGTCAGAAATGGACAAATCATTTGTACACAGTTTCTGGAATAATGTTACGGTAGTCGTTCTACGTGACATTCTACGTGTCAATTTGTGATTTAATGAATTAATTTGGTAGTTTTTTTTTTGCTATATATATTAAATCACTAACCGTCACATGCGTGCCACGTAAGGCGACTACGATAGTGAGTAACTGCGAAAAGCATTATTTCAGTTTTTGGTACTACATAAACAATCAATCTTACCATGCAAGATAGGCAACATTAATTATCACACTCGAAACGTTTAGGTCCCATTTCATTAGCATTTCAACTTTCAGTTTTTAATTCATTTTTAATTTTCTATTTTGATGATCTGAGAATCTTCTAAGATTGTAGTAATTTGGTTTGCTATTACAAAAAAAACTATTTTTCAAAACAAAAAATTGATAAACAAATTTGGTTTGGAATTTTTAGAAGTTATTTTATGATATTTTATTCAGTGAATTTGATTACTCAGTAGATTAGAACAATTTTATGTTATTATATTATTGGTTTGTATTTCGTTTTTGTAACTGAGAAAATATATATTAAAACTAATCAATTTTGTCAAAAATAGAAATTAAAATATAAAAATGGGTAATTAGCACAAAAAGATCATTACCTTTCAATGTTATTGTATAAAACATTCATACCTTTCATTTTTTGATATTTTCACCCCTACCTTTCACATTTTATTGTGCAGAAGGTCATTTTCATCCATTTTTTCAATAAAATGATGATTTATTCAAATAAAACAAAAGGAAAAGAAAAGAGAAATAAATAACTAATTGCAATCATAATCCTCAATTTTTCAAAACATTACAAATAAGTCATAAATTCTCCACTACCACCACTTTCACACCCCACCAAGCCGCCACCTATAGATCTACATAGCATCACCTTCTGGCTACAAAACCCTTCGAACTCCACCACTACCAACCTCGCCTCACTCTCCTCAACATCATCTTCCACGGTATTGGTCACCAATATGTTTGAAACAACCATATTTACAGTTCAAAATACTAAACTGCCATATACAACCCTTCATGGCAATCCCACTTTCGCCGCCACCCATGGTCGCGCACCACCACCGACGGTTACCCCTTGCCTCGACAAACTTATACATGGCCTCACATCAATCAAAACTACCTCAAATCATTTTGTTGTAATTCTAGAACATTCGACAGTGGCAACGTCTACTTTGATAAACTTTTCTCCTTCAATTCATGCATCCCACAACACTAAATCTCCAAATTGGCATCAATAGTACCATCAACAAACACAAACTATAATGAGTATGAATCTAATTAAACAAATTATCCCCTCAACCCTTTTCAATTTTTGGTCCAAAACTTTCTATGGGCGAGATGCATGGCGAGAGTTGTCTGACCAAAATTGGTGGGTCACAAGTGCTCCAATCTTTCAAATTCGTGTGTGGAGGGCTGTGAGGAAGTGAAGCGATGTTGGTGGTGATGGAGTCCGGTGGGCATGGTGGCCAAAAGGTGGTGGTATGTGGTTCTATATGTGATAGCTTGTTAAATTGTGTTAGTGGTGGTGGTGGAAAATTTAATATTTTTTTGTAATTTTTTAAAAACTTAAGGATTATTGTCATAGTTGGTAATTCATCTTTTCTTTTTGTTTTATTTGAATAGGAGGGTAAACTCGTCATTTTATTGAACAATGGATAAAAATGACCTTTTACGCAATGAAATGTGAAAGATAAGAGTAAAAATGTCAAAAAATGAAATGTATGAACGTTTTGCACAATAACATTGAAAAGTAGGAGCTTTTGTGCTAATTACCCTATAAAAATTAATGAAATGAACCAAGAATTACAAAATGTGATTGTGAATGATAAGATTGTAGCAAACAATTCAATAACAAGTGGATGAAAATTATGTGCTTAAATATTTATAGCGGAAATAAACACAAAGTTAAAACAATATAATAAATTTACAGAATCATTGTACAAGTGTTTTTTGAATGTTTTTTCCAGCAGGAAAATTTCTCTGTCTATATACCATACCGAGCTTCTCGTTTAGATAAGAGTTAAGAGCATTTATTTATTTTTATTTTTTTTGCTTAAAGAAAGCTATTTTCTCAATATCATATTCATTAAACTTGATTTTTTTCCTTAATAACTTATGTTACATAATTACGCCCCAGTTTGACAACCATTAAAATGAATTTTGAAATAATGATTTTTTTAAGAATCTATGACTAAAACGTAAGAAAAAATGTGAATTTATATGCAAAATATTTTATTATAAAAATACTGATTAAAAATGAGTTTGAAGAAGAAAAATATATTGTTTTAAGGATTGTCAAATATGGGCTACAATGTAAGAAATATTTCGCAAAATTAAGTTAGTATTTTGATATTAGTGTTACATATTCTATCTTAAAAGGATCAAAAGATGAAAAACTTCATGATCCCAAATTTGTTAGTACTAAGATTTAAATATCAATTGCATATTTATCCCACTAAGTGTCGTAAAAAGTAAATCGTGAATCACGATTACGCACTTTCTCGTGATTATTATATATTAAATGAACAAAAATAAATAAATGAGCAAAAGGTTGAATATCATTTTTAAAGAAGGATTCGATGTGATCTTTTACATCCTCTAAGAGTTTGTTTGGTACAGCTAAAAAATCAATTTTTTGATCATTATTTCACTATTACAGTCGTCATTTTTTAATTATTTTCTCACAGATATGACTCATTTTATCTCTAACAATCGAAAAATTAATTATCAAAATCTTTACCAAGCGCTAAAATTCTCATCCATCAAAGTGTAAATCAAATCTTCGACTTTCTCCTTTTTCCACTTTTCTTCCATTGTTGACACCTAACAGAAATTGAATGCATGTTTAATGATTGCATTTTGCTTTCATGAATTGCCGTGGACCATACTAAATTATTCGTTCTCGCAAAGTTTGCTTGTACACAAAGTTTCATGGTATATGTAGAATACAAAAGGAAATTCGTATTTTCGCATAAAGAAAGATTGTATATAATTGGTACTGTCTACGTTTTAGCCCAACGCGATCTATTGGCTTAGCTCAGGTAAGGCCAACGATGATTTGTTTCTGTTTTAGCTTCTTTGTATTTTTTATTTTATTTACCTTTTATTTAAATAATGTGAATAAAAAATATTTGGTCAATTATAAACACTTTATAATGAATGGTAAAGAATGGCTGACAGAGTTCTTTCCTTAGAATGCTGTAACATTGCACCAGTGGTTTGATATTCACTGAATAAAATATTTTAACAATCAGAGTAACGGAAGTGTTTTGAAAATATAAAAATAAACCTACTCTAAATAGAATATATAACCTTTATTGAAAGCTAAAAAATTTAATGTTTTTTTGTAGGACTGATGGTAATATACGTGTGGGATGAAGTAAGGGCCCTTCTCACTTCCTATGAGTCGTACTTTTCGAATGGAGTAAAAAGAACTTGAGATGAGTTTCCCACTTTTCTTTGATCCTCCCATTAAAAGAAAAACATAACCCCTCGTCATGAACAAAATAAATTTGGCATTTGAGTACAGACGTTTTTTCCTCCCCCACATTGATAGAAGTGGATAAATGGAAAATTGTTGGATTTGGAAGAGACTAAAGTTGAAGTGAGTTATGAAAGATATGGGTCAAAACCTAACCGGTTACCTTTGCCATGTCGGGTCAATCCTAAAATGAATAGAGATTTGCATTTGGGAAGGGAACCCTCCAAATAAGAATTCGGATAAGTGATTTGCTTGCTAACTCATTAAAGTAAATAAAGTCAACCATGTATTACAATATTTTCATGTCCGAAATGATTTCCTGAGGGAAAGGACTTAGTGTTTGAAACTCCTAGCTATGTCTCTATATAATTTGTGAAGGTTTTGAAGATTTTAAAGTATTGTATTCGAAATTTTTAACAAATATGAACGAAACTTTGGACGCTGTCTAATAGAATTTTTGAGAAGTCAAAAGTTATTTTTGAACATTTTTAGATATCTTTTTGAAAATTCTTATTGTGTGGGATGAAGTAAGGGCCCTTCTTACTTCTTATGAGTCATCCGACAGAAAAGTCTTTCTCGAATAGAGTAAAAAAAAAAAATTGGGATATTCAATCTCTTCCTTAAAGATTAAGATGAGTCGATATCAGTCGATGGTGTGAAAACACTTTCTGATGTCGAATTCTTGAAAGCTAGCGAGAGGTTTCTCGCTCTTCTTTGA